CCGTCGCTCCCGTTCGGCGCTTAGCCCTGCGACCCACTCGTCAAAACGGCGACGCCGCGGCGCCGCGGAACAGAAGCAAAGCGGTCAGAAACGCCGCCAAAGCCCAGGAGGAGTCGCACGCCGCCGCCGACTCCTCCCCCCCGCTGTCCAGCGCGCGTCCGCAGAGGATGCGCCGACCTCCCAGGTGGCGCCAAGACCTGCAGGCGGCGGCGGCGACCGAAGCGTCGTCCGGAGCGGCGGAGGCGGACGGCCGACGGCGGCAAAGGCGGCTGGCGATGGATGGGGAGGAGCCTGTGCGGACTTTGCCTCAGGAAGGTGAGAAGGCGCTTCTGCTCCCGTCTTTGAACGGGCCTGCGAGGCAAGCGTATTTCCAACGCAGCTCCCCGCGTGTGCGGCGTTGCGTCACCAGGGGCGGCGGCGGAGAACATCGTGTGCGACGTGTGCGGTCAGGTGATGAAGAACAAGTCCAGCCTGGCCCGCCACTCCTTCATCCACACGGGCCAGAAACCCTTCGCGTGCCCACTGTGCGACCTGCGCTTCAACCGCCGCGACAACCTCCGCCATCACCTGGGCCGCCTCCACCCGGGGGGCGTGGCCCGGCGCGAGAAGCGGCGCCCCGTCCAAACGTGGCTCTGCGACGTCTGCGGGAAAACCTTCCGCTGCAGGTCGGCGCTCAAGACGCACGAGGTCATCCACCTGGGGGTCAAACCCCACCGCTGCGACCTTTGCCCCAAGGCCTACATGCGCACCAACGACCTGGAGCACCACAAGCTCACCGTGCACCAGGGCGGCGACGGCGGAGGGGCGCGGCGCCGCTCGGGCTCCTTGCTGTGTCACTTTTGCGGCAAAGAGCTCAAGTTTCGCTCTCAGCTGGCGGCTCACCTGCAGACGCACACGGACGAGCGGCCGCACCTCTGCGACGTCTGCGGCCGCAAGTTCTGCCGCGGCTACCAGCTGGAGCGCCACAAGCTCCTCGTCCACGTCGAGGGCGGCGGCGAGGGCGGCGAGGACGGCTCGCTGCCCTGCAAGGTGTGCGGCAAAGGGCTGAAAACGGAGGCGCTCCTCGCCGCCCACTCGCGCGCGCACTCTGACGACAAGCCCTTCCGCTGCACGCTGTGCCTGCGCCGCTTCGCGCGCCTGGCCTGCCTCAAGCGGCACCAGGCGCGCGCTCACCTGAAGGAGGGCGCCGGGGCGGCGGCGCGCTCCGCCAGCCCGCGCGCCGCCAAGGCCTTCCCGTGCGCCACCTGCGGCAAAGTGTTCAAGTTCCGCTCCCTGCTGAGCAACCACGCGGCCGTACACAGCGACGAGCGGCCGCACGGCTGCGACTTCTGCCCGCGCCGCTTCCGCCGCCTCAGCCACCTCAAGCGTCACCGGCGCGTCGTCCACCGCGACGGCGCGCGCCCGCCGCAGAACTTTGTCTGCCACATCTGCGGCAAGGACAAGAAGTGCCGCTCCCAGCTGGCGCGACACGCCATCATCCACACGGGCGAGCGGCCCTTCGCCTGCGACCTTTGCTCCGCGCGCTTCAATCGCCAAGGCAACCTGCAGCAGCACAGGAAGCGCGTGCACGGCGTCTGCAAGACGCCGGAAGACGCCGACCCGCCGTTGCTCTTCCAAGACCTCGACGGGGGCCCGGACTTCAAACGGGAAGAGGTGGTGGCGGCGGCGCCGCCCTCCGATTGACGCCGCTCGCTCGCCGCCGGGCCTCGGCCGGCCGCACTCGCTCATCAATCCGACTGGTTTGTCTCGTTGGCTGAAGGCGCCGTGCCAGACCGGTTCACCTGATGCCGTTGTCATCTTGTCAGAATTGATGACATAACATGATATATTATCCTGGTGTGGCACCGGTAGATTTTTTTGGGGTTCAGAGTGTGACTTATTTGTCTTGCCATTTGGCGGTTGAGCAAGTTTGGTCCCAAAAGCGCTCAAATTAGAAAATCTTTTCTCACAGTAAGTCCAAGTGAACGTTTTGCCGGGTGCACGAAATGATCCAAACTCTCAAGCGGACAAGAAAATGATCACCATAAAAAGGAGTGACACACTTTGAAGTTGATTTTTTTTTCTCTTTCTTTCTTTTTGGGATGGGAGATTTACACCCGGAAATTAGCTTCGCGATCCAATAAATGACGTCACGTGACACTTGAGACTCCGCCCTCATCACCTGCCTGCAATCGGGTAGCCCGGATGCGCCGCGCCGCGTCACGGCTCCGCGCCGCCGCCTTTGTGCGTCTTGGAGATCCAAAGGTGGCCCTGCCTCGCCGCCGGGCTGCGGGAGGAGCCGCACGGGTGACGTTCGGTGCCGCGCGCTGGCGCCCGACCAGATGGCTCACCTTTTGCCGGGCGCGCGGCAGTAGCGGGCCGCGGCGGCCGCCAGGATGAGCAGCAGCGGGATGGCGGGAAGGAGGACGTACAGCGCCAACGGACCTGCGTGCCCACAAAAAACCACCAAATAACGTCGGCCAATTTGGCCGAGAACGCGGCAAACCGCCGGAACTTAACGCGTCGGGTTGCCGCTGTGCAATAGGGGCCAAAATCTTACCCCCCCCCCACCCCCCTTTTTGTTTGTTGAGCACAATAACGACACTCGCG